TGGTCATCGTACCAATGACGTCGTTGATCTGTGATGCCAGGTGTATAGCTGTATCTGTTCAGTACAGATGCTGGATCTCTCGTTGTTGAACCTACAACTGGAGATAAAAAAAGCTTTCACAAAAATCCATAAAAATTGCGGCGTACCTGGGTATTTTCGATACTGGGGTACATACGCCTCTCTAGCCACATTCGAAGTTGGATAGACACTATAGGTTTTATCATTTGCAGAGCTGGCAGTATAACTGAAAACCGCTAGATTGAGCGAAAGAAAACCTGTATACTAACCCTTTTATCCATCTAGTATTATTGTAGGCTGAAAGTCATGGGCCCTGCCAGAAAAAGAGAATTTTTTCGAATAAAAAGGTTGAAATTGAGTAGAGCTAGCGCTTACGAGGACTAGATATACTTTCTATCACGGAGAAGAAGGTAAGGAAGTAGGAACTACGGTAGCTTAGTTATTAGTATGAAAAACAGCGTATGAGCATGCGCCTACCGTCCTGGATAGTAATCGTTGCTTGGTAGCTGAGAGGTCACATGTGATGTGTCATTTTTGCGGAATAGGGATTTGATCTTTTCAATAGGTGAGCTTGGTCGTTTGTAGTTGGAAAGGTCGTCGTACCTAAACAAGGCTAAAATAGAAATCGAAGAAAAAGCATCACATGATTCCAACACACTTCGAGCACTATAATTTCACTAAGTCGTAGTGTACGGGACTCAAAAGAATGTGAAATAAAATGAATAACCTATATAGAGCTTAAAGGGCTTTTCATGCGTTATTATATTCAACCGAAAAAAATTTTGAGTTAGTACTAATAGAAGGAAATGAAGAGAAGGAAGAGATAGGTCAAGAGTGATCGCAAAGAAAGTCTTTTTTGGGAAATTCCGCTTAAGAAGGATGCGGGTAGAGTCTAAATCAAAAATACCGAAATTATTCGAATTATAATCATTCTTTTGACCAGCTCGATAGCGTACACGAAGACGAATCCGATTAATTTTCTCTTTTTTCACAGGAAGTCTGTAAACCACAAAAAAATCTTATGAATGAGGTAGGCTTAGAGGGAGACATAAAACATGCTACAATGAGTTGCCAAAGGGGGACCTAGAAGCATTTTAGACAGACTAGTGCTTTATCTCATCTCTCCCGAATCTATGTACTGCGCCCCTTTACACAGGTCAAGTGTGGCAATCACCTAATAATAACTTCTACTGAACTAGAGTTTTATCACAATTCACCTTAGACACAACAAGACAATCAGGGAACTGAGACAGTTCTCAAACGTCAGCGTACTTAGAGCAGAACTCCTCAAACGGAAGGTCCGATTCAAAATATTCACTACATGTCATACACCTATGTTTTTAGGCATCCCAC